TCAGCCTTCTGGTTAGCAGTCAAGTGCCTTAGCCACTATGTTACCAGAGCTCCTACACAGAACTACATAGGGATAGGACTTGTTACCAGCATAGCCTTTGGAGGCAAAAAGGTTAGGTTAGAATTCTGGCTTTGCCCACTTAACTAGCTTGTGTGCTCACTCTTTCGCAAGTTATCTAAGCCTCATAGAAATGATGACAGCATCTAGCTTCCTGGGGTTTTGCCCAATTAAATGGAATGCAAAGTGCCTAGCATATTGTGAGTGCTCAAAAAAGAATATGAGTAGTTTTTAACCATCATCATCATTATCATCAAGATTCCTGATATATCTCTGCCTCTAGATTCCAAAGATTACAATCTTTTCTCTTCATGGATCATGCATTAATTACTTCAGGGTATAGAAGTGCTAACATTGAAAAATGTATGTAAACTCTTTTTTGCCTAATTTGTTGTCCGGAAAAATGCAATTGGATGATACCTTACACTTTCAGCTAGTTAGGATTTTAATGTGGGTAAGGCATGTTTACGGCATTGTTCCCCAGCCATATGTATCAGGCAAAACAATTTAAGAATGGCAGCAGTATGGGAAGCATGCCACCCTGGCATGCCCATCATCAATAAGATGGAGGTGCGTCAGCGAATTTTTCATATATTCACCAGATATTTAAGGAATACCCACTTAATGCTGAGAACTGTTTGAGGTTCTGGGAATTTTGCAGTTAAAAAACAATAAAGCTGACCAACAATCAATAAGTAAACAAAACAAAATAAGCAATCCAGATAATTATTACCACATAACACTTCAATCCTTGAGATAGGGCTTTTGTCTTGCTTATCTGTGTCTTTTTTGTATCTATTCCAGTGCTTAGCATATAGTAGGCACATAATGCTAATTTTCAGTCCTCTCTTCTTTCGTAGAGAAATGGATTTTGTAGAGCTTGAGTGGCAGTTACTTTGCATGTTCTAAATCAACTCTCTCAATTCAGAAATGAGGAAACTGAAATTAACTTAATGTCCCCAAGTCACACAGCTAACCAAATCACACACCAGAATTAGATGCTAGGTCCACTGACACCTGACTTCCTTTTCCTTCCATCTATTAACCCTCACCTAGCATTGGGATCTTTGACCACTCATGTGGTTTAATTGATGGATGTTAAGAAATAGAACATGCATCACAAATACAGGCATGAATATAGATATTTTCTAACATGGAATATTCAACTATTCGCAAAAAAATTGTTAAATTTTGCTCACTCCTTCCTCTTTTATTTTTAAACAACATATGTATGACAGTTTCATTCATTTGACAACTATTTATTGAGCAACTATTATGTGCAAGGGACATCCATCAGTGAACAAAACAGTTTAAAATACCTGTCTTCGTGGAGCTTCCAGAAAGGGAAGACTGACTCCATACAGGCATACCTTGTTTTATTGCACTTTGCTTTATTGAGCTTCATAGATACTGTATTGGCTTTTTTAAAAAACATAAATAAATGGAAGGTTTATGGCAACCCTGCATCAAGTAAGTCTATCGGCATCATTTTTCCAACAGTGTGTGCTCACTTCATGTCTCTGTGTCATAGTTTGGTAATTCTCACAATATTTTAAACTTTTTCATAATGCTACTGCATACTAAATAAACTACAGTAGAGTGGAAATATAATTTTTATATGCACTGGTGTGGTAGTTGCATGTCAACTTGGCTGGGCCTGGTTTTGAGTGTCTGGGCAGCTGGATATAGTATTCCCCATGATGAAACTGGTAACCAGCTCCATGGTGGAATCTACTGGAGCAGCTGAGTAGCTGCCTTAGGGATGTGGTCTGCTTCCGGTATATAAGAAGAAGCATTGAGAAAGGTCTTGGAGCTTTCTGGTACGCTTGGACCCTGCATGTAGTCTTTGTTCAACAGCCTGCCATGTTTCCTGCTGATCTTGGGAGTGTTTCTGGACTTGAACTAGTGGCCTGCCATGTTGTTTTGTAATCTTGGGACCATGTCATTTTATTTATCAACCTTGAGTTTGTTAGCATCAGCAGCCAGCAGCTACCTGAGTTAAACCTCTAGCTTTAGTGGGCCAGGAGCAAGAGGCAGTGCTGAAGCCCAAGGTCAAGACAGAGCTAGCACTTTGAACTTGGACTTTTAGCCTCCCAAACTGTAAGAGAATAAATTTCTGCTTCTCAAAGCCACTCACTTGTGGTATTTTCTGTTAGACTAGCGTTAGAGAACCAAAACAACTGGGAAATGAAAAACTTCATGAGACTCGCTTGATTGTGGTATTCACTTTATTGTGGTGGTCTAGAACAGAATCTGCAATATTTCTGAGGTGTGCCGGTACAGACTAAGGAGGCTTTTCATATTTTAGAAGGTGGAAAGTAGGGAAAATAAAGCTGAGAAAGGGATAGGGAGTGCTGAGGGCCTGCAATTTTCAAAAAAGTGCTTAGTGAAGGTGTCACTGAGATGACTGATATCTGAGGAAAGAAGTGAAGGACATGAGGAAATGAGCCATGCAGTTGTCTGAGAGAAAAGTGTTCCAGTCAACGGTAAGCACAGAGGTCTGAGAGACAATGTTCTGGTATGTTCAAGGAACAGTAAAGAGGTCAGTATGGCAGGAGCTGAGAGAATAGGAGGGGAGGGCGGAGAACTCATGGGGACAAACCATCTAGGGCTTTATTGGAATCTCCAAATACTATTAGTTTTGTCACTCCAGCTTTATGACAAGATAAATGAAATAAGTGGTTTATAAGAACTATAACTGTTAGCAGACTTAAGCTAACAAAATTCTTTCATAGCAGGCTAACAAGCAATGTAAAAAAAAAAAAAAAGAATCAGTGTGACTGGGAGGTATCTTTTGGAAATTTAAAGATATCTCTCACCAAGAATTCAAATATCACTTACCCAAAGGACAGGGTGAACCAAACAATTGTAAGTTTTATTGTATTTTCTCTGACTGGGTAGTTGAAACATCTCATAAAAGTCAGCCAAATCTGTGAAATAGTGGAGAGTTAGTTTTCTTACGCAGTCAACCCCACTCCCCAACCCACTCCACCAAATTAGAAAAAGTTGAGTTTTCTTTGATTTTAATTCATTTGAATGGAAAATGTAAAAGCTAATGTAAAACTTGTAGGAAACCAAATACTGGAATTTTCATGTTTCTGTTTTCTGGAGGCCAATGAGTAAAATAACTCAAGACTTCAATCTACCCCATCATTGCCAAGATTCCTGGCCTAACATTCCCCTTCCCCAAAATGGAATGTACTGGCTACCCTGCTGATCCCAAGGGGGTTCTATTACCTGGCCCCTGTCCAGGAGTCAGGTGTCCTAGACATAGGTGAGAAGAGCCCCACTTGAGGGAATCCTATAGCTAAACCTTTCTCCTGACTACTCTTAAATGCAACAAGTGGACAAGCAAGTCAGGGTGGGACTTGTTACTTACTCCGTACAATTCTGTGCGGATTCGAACGAAACATCTCCTATACCACGTCCCTGTGTCACTCTCAATTTCAATCAGCTCATCTATTTGTTTTGGGGTTTTGATTCTGTTTACCTATAAAGGGCAACAGAGCATAAAGGACTGAGTTGTCTTCTCTGAAATTGCTGAGTCTAGGTTTACAATTTATCTTAAAAGAAGTGAAAGCTGACTCTAATAAAAAGTAAGCAGATATTTGATAATCAGTCCACACATGTATGAAACCATTGTCATAAGTGTACAGATCCACACAGCACCTAAAAAACTGAATGAAGAGTAAGTGGGAGGAAATACCATAGAGAAATGGAGGAAGAGTAATCAGTAATGGGGTAATAGGAAACAACAATACCCTTTTCTGAATAATACTATAAAGACACACATTAGCAGATAAATATCCAGGTAGATTAGCTTCTGTGTTATTAAGTTATTTTGCGACAAAATATGCTTTTCTTTGGAACCTGTTTATTTGATGAACTTGAGCTCTAAAAAATAGTTCTTAATGCTTTCTCTATCAAACTTCTATTCATAGAGGGTCACTATAAGAGGCCAGGCCTTTTTCTTCCTTATCCCATAGCCTAATCCACATAATTAATCAGCAAA